GGGTCCTGGCTGGGCTGGGCGGGTGGGTGCTGCTTGGCGGCAGTTCTCGGGCTCAGTGTGCGCCTTGTGTCCCCAGCATCAGCATCACTACCTCGTGCTACCCGCTCCCCTCCATCTGCGTCCGAGACCCTGTGAGCGACTGGTTCGAGAGCCTGGCCCAGTGCCTGCACTGGAACGTGCGCAAGCGGCAGGCGCACTTCACAGACGAGGAAGGGGAGGAGGAGGGCTAGCCGCGTGTGCTGCACGTGTTGTCCACAGTCACACCCCTGCCGGCATGAGACACCACGTCACTTCTGTCTGTAGCCAGAGCAGCAGCCTCAGAATCTGCCTTTGTCAGCCAGATTGGCCGTTTTTAACATTTTAAATCTGACCTTTTTCTGCATTTCTGAATGAGCCGAGCAAGCAGCGGCCGGTGAGTGCAACATGGCACCCGTGTTTTCTGTCAGGGCCCATCCCTGTCGAGCTGCACGGGCTCTTCTGGTTCCCTGTCAGGAAGCTCCACAAATCCGCCTTTCACATTGAGGGGATCAGAATGGATGGATCTATCCTTTGGTGTTGAAATAAATGTCTCAGCCAAAAGCCTGCTTTCCCCTGATCCTGCACCTTTCCCCAAACCTCAAGGGGAACCAAGTGGTGAGCACCTGGGAGGTGATTGCAGGCTGGTTCGTGGATGGGTTCTTTTCCTCCCCCCACCGTCTCTGGTCCTGTCTCCTACCCCCACTTTGGTGTAACAGGTGCCGCAGATCGTCACGCCTGGCCAGTGAGCCTGGTGGTGGCCGGGTGAGGTCAGCCCACACACATTCCTCTAGGATCAGAGCTGGCCCCCAGCCCCAAGGCAGAGTTGGCCTCTGTAGTGCTGATGCCCGGGTTCTGCTGTGCACACTGGGAAGACTGCTGGGGGAGGGCTCGTACTGTGAAACAGCTTGTACTGCGTGCATGTCATCTGTCTAGTCCACCCAGCTGCTTGGGGGTAACTTGGTTACGAAGCCACGGTCCTTTGCAGGTGTCACAAGATTGGGACAGACGGGTTAGTGCCAAGATGGTGCTTTGTGCAGGTCCCGGGGTATAAGGACACCCTGTCATTCCAGCAGCCACCCCTCCCTCGCCAGCTGGCTGAGGTGTGTACAGGTACATGCACATGTTTCCACAGGACCCAAAGCCTGTGCAGTCCATGGTTGGAACCGAGGCTGTTTGCACGTGGCTTTGGCTCCCTAGCCCAACAGGTGTCCAAGATCCGGGCTTGATTTGAGTAACTGGTTTATCTTTGAGGAGCATTTTCATCTTCGAGGTTGGGGAGAAGGGAAGGGCAGTGCATTGTCTTGCCCACTTGGAGGGAAACATGCCCCAATCTTGTGCTAATGAGGTGTCCAGGGCCACACGGCCCCCCTTGGCTGGGTCTCTATAAAGAGCTGGCTCTACAGCCGAGCACTGTCTCCACTCTTTGTGTGTGTTGATTGCTGTACCCACTTGTCCTTGCTTTGTGACCTCAGTGGTGCTTGGCACTTGGCCTGGTGCTGGACATGGAGGTGCTGGACATGGAGGTGGTCTCCCACTGCCACCTGCCCACCCATCTGGCAGGCAGGCCGGCCTCCTGTGGAGAGGGAGCCAGAGCCAAACCCAAACCCCCCGGCATTAGGTTCAGAGGAGTAGCATTTGGAACTTGGGCCACTTGTTTAGACAGAAATGCAAGTCCTGAAGCAGCACGACACTGAGATGATCCTGAAAGCTCTGGGTTTTTTTGAAGTAATTCTTAGTATTTCATGTTAATATCCTGAAAATTTATTAAATGTTGAAAGCCTTACTATTTTCAGATCTTTCAATAAACACTTGTTTAAAAAGTCGGATTAATAACTTTATTTGCTTTTTTGTAACCAACTCAAAGAGGCCAAGGGAGGTGGTCTGGGTCCGCCCTGCCCTCAGCACACCTGGGGGAGACTACGGGGTGGGTCCTGCTCAGGCAGCCCCCAGTGTCCCAGGGATCCTCACCCAGCTCCACCAGGCTGTTGGGGTTGGGGACGTGGGCTGGACCTTGGAGCACCTGCCTCCCTCCCCTTGGTGTGGGCAAAGCTTTGCCAGGATCAAAGTGGGCACTGCTGGCACACAGCACGGGGCTGGAGCCCAGGATCAATGAAATGGCCAGCCAGATGTGCCACTGGCCATTCTCAGGATAGTTAAGCAACAGCCCAAGGCCCTGGCTGTTCCTCTCAGGCCAGCCCTGGAGGTTAGCCTGCCTCCCTAGCCCCCAGTGTCACCACTGTACCTGTTAAGTCACAAGTTTTCGCTTCTGGGGGAGGCGCTTTTACACCCAGGCAGTGTGGGGTCCAGTTGCCTCCCTGCGCAGATGTCTCCGCAGCCTGAGGTGTCTGCTGTCCCCTCTGCCAGGGGACCTGGCCCAGCCCCATCTGAGGGAGGCAGATACGTATCTGTGGTCAGTGTGTAGGAGCACATGCGGTCTGCTGACCAAAGCAGGTCTGGGCAGGTGCCGGAATGCTTGCTGGTATCCAGGGCTTCGGGGACCCAGGCTGAGCCTCCAGCAGAGCACCCGCTTTGAGAGCAGGAGCCAGACCCAGCTGGCCCGAGTCTGGAGCAAGGGGGCTTGCTCCCAGGTGGGCATGAGCACTGCCTCCACGGTCACTCTTCACAAAGGCTGTTGACCTCCGACCTCTGGGCCGTGACCTTCCAGGCACAGGGAGCCCGTCACCGGGGGTGGGGCCACAGGGGCTCCCCCAGGCCCCGGACAAGCAGCCCCTCCTGATGACCGAGGCGGCATGTCTGCAAACGCCAGTCTCGGTCTCGCTCTGTCCGTACATGGTCCACGGCGCGCCCACCCTCCGGACAGCCCAGGTGAAGCCCAGGCCAGCTGTTCCCTGTGCCCAAGTGCCGGCATCGCTGTGCGCCCCGGGCCCTTACTAAGCGAAACGAGGGCGGACGACGCCCGCA